CTTTACCTATACTGAAAATTTATGGAACCCCTCTGAAACACTATTTTGTTAACATAATGCCTTTTGAATTTCTTTCCTCAAATAGATCAGTTTTTGTGAAATACTTCCTACACAACCTGAAACAAAGTATTTTATTTAAAAGAAAATTCTGTTGATTTGAATTGGGAGCACAAGGCTTTCTTTTTTAGACAGTTTGCTTTTGATTTTTTTGGTGAAGTACATAATATATGCTTGTTAGTTGAATGTAATGATCTTTCATTATAAGCAAAGTAAAAGGCCAAATTTGGCTAATTTTTCATTTCAAGGAATGAGTTTGTGGGCTTATGCACTTTAAAGAACAGCAACAAGGGCTGGGGATTTAGCTCAGTGATATAAGTACCTGCCTTGCAAGCACATGGTCGTGAGTTCAATCCCTGGTACCCATTAAAAAAAAAAAGCAACAAAAACTAATTACTAATAGCAAATGTACCTTTGCAAAATAAAAGTCAGAAGTAGATGAATGAATGCTTTCTTTACACCCAAGATATTTTGATAATTCTCACAAACATACATTAACTTAATTTATACAGCTCTTTTGTCACTCTTAGATCAACTTTAGTGTATCCAAAATATATCAATCTTACTAATATTGTGAAAAATATAGTATATTCTGTCTAACATTAACTAAACAAGTTACACATATAAAGTAATGTAAAGCAAATGTTGGAATGATCATAAAATTAAAATGATAATAGCCATTGAATAAATATGTAGTACAGATTTAGAGGCAAAAAAGGAGATAAGCTTGATGCTTATTAACAATTCAGCATTCATTGTTTATGCCATGTTTGCAATTTTCACATTCATAACAGCAAGATCTTGTTTAAAATGCAGAATCTTGAATAGCACAAATATTAATGTTTACTTTTGTTTATATTTACTAACATAAAGTCTAAAGGTCCAAGAACTTTGTTAGCTTTAGAAAACATTTCTGTTCCTAAGTCAAATAATATGTGCAGGACAAAGTTAAAGAGAATGTATTCTATCACTCAAAGTCTCTTCTTAACAGCCCCTCTACAAACCACCTGGTGTATCTCTTCTTTTTAGTCTGTGTTTTCTTGTTTCCATATCTTGTACTTATATCCCTTTAAACATTGTTTCCTGACAGGTGATCAGTTCACACCAAATCTTTAAGTCCCTATTTACATACCACCGTTGTAAGAAACCTTCTCTTATGCGATCCTGTCCCAACTAAATGGAAACAATCATTATGAATTTTACAGCTTCCCTTCATTGAGGGCAATGTGGCAAGGTTCTCCTTGACCATGTCCAGAGTCTATGAATTTTCAGAATTGAGGACCAAGCTTCTGGTACTCTGGTTATGACTTATCACAGTGAAAATATACAAAGTAAAATAAGCAAAGGGCAAAGGCACATGGGGTGAATTCCAGGGGAATCAGTACCAATTTTCCAAAAGTTCATCTCAGGAGAGTCGCATGGGATGGGCTTAATTTCTGCATCAATGCATTGTAGAACTTGTGAAGCATGGTCTACCAGGGACATCACTGCAGACTCATTGCCCAGAGCTGTGTATTTGGGGATAGTTCTCAAACATTTATTGGTCTACCCTATACTAATACTTCAGACTGCAGGAGGAAACTACCTGCTTAGGATGAGCTGTGCTGACTGTAATTTAGGTGCAGTGAATTGTTCCTATCAGGTAGGCTCGTGCGGGGTTCCATTCCTGGAATCTTTGTTTTCACATGCCAGCAGGGGCCAAACTTGCCAGCAGGCCTTTCTAGTAACGGGAGTTACAGGACTGTTACGGTAACTCTTTTGGGCAGGTTGTTATACAGTTTGACTTTACATATATGAATGTGTATGTTTTATATTTCAGCTCAACTCTTTTAGAGTAAACTACTAAGGATTGAGTAGGTACTTTTTTCCCTTACTCCAACATTCCAATAATGAACAAGATTCTAGAAAAAAGATATTCAACAACCATGGTGAATTAGGTCTGCTCAAAGTGCAGGAAATAGGCGTGAAAAGAGACCTAACAATGTGGAGGAAGAATACCATCTCTCCTGGATGGAGTCTTTTGCAGTTTATGTAATTTTCTGTATCAATGCATAGGGATTAGCACAAACAGAATAAAAGACTGAAAAATCTATTATGCACAGTACAAAGACGAACCTAACAGCATCTCTTATTGTTAATTATACTCTTTAAAGAAATAAAGGTATACAATAACTTTTTCAATCACTAAAACCTTACTTAATCTTGTCTACTCTGTAATTTGTTATGATTCAATTAAAATGCATGCATTACAGAGCATATGTTAAATTCACTTGCTTAAAAAAGATTATCTGAGCACTTATGTCACTTAAGATGTAGACATTAAAAACTCCTAATTATAATATTTGATACACAGTGTCATACAATGTCTCAGCACCATTCCCAAAGGTAGATGCAATTATTAATTCTAGTTTTAGAGATGTTATTAAAAAAGTAACTGTTTAAGCATGTACTCTAGTATTTATCTTCTCAATTGCTCCATTATACTGAGTTTCACATCTTTGAAAAGTTCAGTCTTTTTTTTGACACAAACTGTTTTGATATTATTAAATGCTTTGTCCTTCACTTTAAAAAATAAAAAACTGAAATATTTCTAGTTATCCCCACTTCATATTTAGTAGACTGTAGTCTTAATGAAGATTTTGTTATTTAACAATTCATAAAAAGTAGTGAGGACTCAACAAGTATTTGGCATTCATGGCTATTATTATGAACTAAAAAGAAAAATTATACTGGATTAAATACAATAAACCTATGCCCATTGAAACCTGATCATTTCCACCAGTGTTTGATAGTTCAGTTTTTGCTACGATCCAATTAAAGTGACTTGTTAAGAAAAGAGCATTTCATTCCTCTCCAAATGGAGTGCAATTAGTGTATATCAGAGCCCATAGACAGGAAACTACATTTGTGATTTTTTTTATTTCTTAAAGATAAATTGAAGACTACAAGTTATAAACAAGTTGTATCATGTCAAATTCAAATAGCAGCTTATAGAGAAAATAGTTTTTATCTTAGATCATGAATTTTTCATATGACAGAAAGCACTATTTATAAGTTTCTAAGTTTTGCTTACTAAATAAACATTCATATTCAAGTTCAGAACGATGACAAGATTCTACAGCTATGGGCAAAACTCCTCACTAAGATACTAGGGTGACAGGGATCCAGAAGAAGCATATTAACTTACAACTACTGTAGAGAACTCCCTGTAGATGACTCACAATTACCATACCCTGTCACAGAGGACATGAACTCTGAGTCTCTCTGAGTTTGCACAAAATCAGGAGGCCACAGTGCATTTCAGATATCTTTGAATGGACCCAGAAGAATGGAATTAGAAATGCTCAGTACTGTGTCAATCAGCTTTCCATCATGTAACAAATACCCGAGCTACTGATAAAGGAAAAGTTTGGTTTTAATTCATATTTTTGTAGGTTTCAGCCCATGATTGAAAGACCCTATTGCTTTCATGGCTCTGGTAAGGTTGCAAATGCATGATGCAACAAAACCACTCATCTGATAGCTAGGAAACAAAAGAGTGAGGAGGAGGACAGAGGGTCCTACAATCCCCTTCAAGGCCATGCCCCAATGACCTGGAGACCTCCCTTTAGGCCACACCTCTTAAAGATTCCACTGCCTCCCTACAGTATCTCTCTGGGAACCAAATTACCGACACATGACTTTGGGGACATTTGCTGTCTAAACTATAACAGGTACCAAAAATTGAGACACAATTCACGCTGACTCTTGCCATTTCTACATGTATGCCAAGCAAATATGTTGACAGATTTTGTTTAGAATATCTTTTAAAGGATTCTTCTGTAGTCAGAAGCATACCAAGGTATTGGTATGGTTTCCCTGGGGAGAAATGGACAGACATGCATACTGATTATTAAGATATTAGTAACCATAGTGGCATGTGTATGCACATGACCTGGTCTTTGTCCCTGTTCTATAAGAATCAGGCTGAGGAACCCAGCTTACGAAAATGCAGACTTTCTGATGAGTGCTCCTATTTGTGAATAAATAATAAAACACTTTGCTTCTTAAAGCAGAACCAAACAAAGGTATGGAAACATTGGAGACTGACCTTGTTCTACAATGCCTGAAGTTTATTGCTATTTTGGAGCTGATCTTCAATCAAAATATTGTAAAGTTGCTAATACAAAGTTACCACTAGCAAGGGAGAGGTCTCAAAATGCAGCTCCATTTGTGATAAATCCATCTTGATTTTTATTATAGTTTTGCAAATCATATTTTTTCATTTTGACAAATGACTCTAAATTACTTTTCACTTCTCATGAACCATATCTATAGATGATGTGGTACATCTTTTGGAGAACAGTTCTTAAATTTTGTTTTGCAGGCATGATAAAAATCTAGATTATCTTCCATGAGCCCTAATTTTTTTTTCAAATTTAGTGTCTCACTGACAGTCTAGGGAGTATTTTGTTTTTCATCCAATGAGTCTATGATGTCAATAGAACCATACTCATGACTTTGTTAAACTGATTTCTGAAGTCTATTCTGGCAAAAATAGTAATTAATGTTTAGCAGAGTTGTATCTCAATTTCTGAAATATTAAATTCATGAGAACTGTCCCACAAGCATTGGTACAGTTTTTGTTTTTTGTGTTTGATGACTTGATGGTGATTAAAGTGAGAGAGAAAACATATTTTACTTCATGACTCTGAAACTAGTCAATTATATCTCCTGTATATAACACTAAAAATGAAAAAATAGTTTAATTTATTTTGTTGAAAAAATCAGTCTTTTTATCACTGTAAAATCTTGAAGTAGTAAAAGCTATTTAACTATAAATAGTAAGCAAGTTACATTTGTATTGCTCATAAATTAAAATTATAGGTTAAACATTGCACTTATTTATTGAAGTCATTGAATGTAGAAATCAATAAACATGAACAGGAACATGTTTTACCTACTTTTGAAATGTTACTTGATCGGCTAGCAGATCGCCCTGGGGATTTGTCATTCTGAAAAATAAAATTAGAAACATTGGTTAAAAGAAAGTCTGCCAAGATGAAGAAATATAAGTGGCAAATAAATATATGAAAAAATGTTCAACGTCACTGGTCACTTCAGAAATGCAAATTAAAACAATATTGAGATTTAATCTCACTCCAGAAAGAATGACTATCATCAAGGACTCAATCAATAACAAATGCTGACAGGGCTGTGGGAAAAAAAAGAATCCTTCTCCACCATTCCTGAGGCTGCAGACTGGCACAAGCACTGTGAAAATCAGTATGGAGATTCCTCATAAAACTAGGATTAGAGATCCCATTCCACTCAGCTATTCCCCTTCTGAATATCTTTCTGAATAATTAAAAACATCATACCATAGTGATATATGTGCATCCATGTTTCTAGCAGCACAATTTATAATAGCTCAATCTTGTAAACAACCAAAATGCTCATCAAGCACGGAATGTGTAAAAAGATGTGGTATTTTTACACAATAGAGTGCTGTTCAGTCATAAATGAGGAAAACCTTGGGACTTTTATAGGTAAATGGATGCAACTTGAGACCATACTCATGAGTGAAATAGATCTGTACGCATCTTGCTATCTCTCTGGCATGAAAAATTGAAAGAGTAAATACAGTATAAAAGGTACAGTAGATATGGTGGAATGGGAAGAAATTATTCAAAAGGAAAAAGGAACTAGGATGGGTGAAAGGAGAGAAGTGCAGGTCAGTTATCCTCTTCATGTTCCTTAAAGAGGTTCATTGGAGAGGAATTAAGAAATTTTATTTTTTTTCTACAAAATAAAATTAAAAATAAAGAAACTATGCAATATCTTTTATCATTAAGAAGAGAAAGAATAGTACAGGGCAAATATATGAATATTTTCAAGATTGTGTCAATGGACACAGATACTAATTGCTTATACAGAAAAACTTTTATCAAAAAATTTCAGTTAATAGCTCAGCATTTGTTAAGCTTGGAGCATTTTCTTACAGGAAATGATTATTTCTCTAGAAAAACTGTGCAATGTGTTTGAAAATAAAGTTAGATAATGAAAGTATGGCTCACTATTTCCCCTTTTACTTTTGCAACCAGGAACTTCTGAGTAAATTGTGGTTCGCAATGCCAGTAAGTATTCTGTGCCGGGTGCAAATCTATGTTCTTATAAAACATGCTCAGTTACTTAATACACTTTTAAAATGTAAAACATCTTTCTTTAATGGTTTAAAATATTAAAAATTATAAGGTTTAATTTTAAATGTTTGAAAATGCTTTAAAAATGTTTATGCTTGTTTTTAAAATTTTTCTAGTTTAGAAGGAAAAATACATAAAAATTGCTTGTGAATAATTTTTTTGTTTTAGAAAAATGTCATGCACTTCTAAAGTTGAAAGGAACATGAAGGAGTTGAGCTGTGTGGTTTGAAGGTCTGGACTTTCTGTCCCTGGCAACCTCAGAGGCAGATTTGGAGTCAGGGCCAGCATGGAGCCTGCATGCTGGTCTGGTCTGTTTGTCCTCTGTACTCTGCCAATTACTGGTGAATGAATAATTGACTGGAAAATCAGAGTACATGAGAATTATGCATGTTCCATGTAAAAGCAGGTCATGGCGCACCCCTCCAGAAAATGCTACTGGAAAAAGCAGCTAACAGTATCAAAACTTTGTGATCTGACTTAACAGTCAATAAAATATTTTAGCTGTGTACATATTCTTGTCTTCTACTTTTTTTAAATTTCTAGAATCAGCTTCAAGGTAGACACGAGCAGACAACTGCAGGTATATCTTGTCAGAGGTTTCTGTTGAGAATTAAGCTGTTACAACTACTCGTGGGCCTGACATTGCCCCACAAACACTTCTTGAGTGTTTCAGAACCTTGGTGACCACGGAATATGGCAGATGTGTCACAGTGGAAAAACAACAGCTACATGTCACTGTGTCTGCAGGGCCTTGCAGATACTCAGCTGAGAAGCACTTTTTCCCTTTCATACAACATCCATCTCGTATGACCACTAATGCCACTGTGGAGCGTGTTATTACAGACCAAGATGACTCACAACGATGCTATTAGTTACAGCCCGTAACAGCCCTGTGATGCAGCTGGAGACAAATGTAGCGGGTTCTACCCACAGACATCCTTCCCTGATTAGCTTTCACTGGTGATGGAGAGGGGCATTTTTCTACTGACATCTCAACTCTTCTTCTAGGGACTGGCTAACAAAACCAATCCATCTTTCCCTCTCGGTGACATTCAGGACTTTGACACATTGCTGTGTGGAAAAGATATAAATAAGTCACATACTATAATAGGTTTTGGGGGCTAAGTTTTTTATATTGTTTTGATTTTTTTTCTGGGCTTACAGGGTGTTTGAGAATGTGATTAAGGTAGAACTGAATTTCCTGAAGGAAGAATCAAGAAAAATAAGAAATTTAATTTGGCTTAGATTATTAATGCTTAAACTACACAGGAATTTGTGGCATATCAAATTAAAATGAAGGATCAGATTCCTTTCACAATTGTGAATGAGTTTGTTATAAAGTTTTAATAAGCAAGTAATTTCCATACTCTTCACCAGCAACCCTTAACCTAAAGAGGAGGAAACATCTGCTTGACATTTTAGTACTTTTTGGAAGTGTTTTAAAGTGAAATTCAATCAATCTCTCTCTCTCTCTCTCTCTCTCTCTCTCTCTCTCTCTCTCTCTCTCTCTCTCTCTCTCTCTCTTTCTAAAACAAGGTTAGGCACCGATAGAAGTAAATGCACTTGGGCAAAGTTCAGTGTTTCTTGTGGCTGAATATTTATGGTTCTATTCTAGCTCAGAGAAAGGCAAGTTCACCAGATGAGCTGACACACGATCATGAACACCAGGGCTGTGTGGGCGGTGATGCGAAGGGGAGATGGCCTTAAATACACCACAGCGCATGCGTTAGCGTGACCAGGTAGCCTGACATTCCTGAACTTGAAGTTCATCACTATACAATGAGGGAGACAATATCTCGAGAACTGTTATAAGGAACAAATGGGTTATAAGTAAAAACGTTTTTCACACTGAGAGGTTAAAATATGACTATTGCTGTCACCAGAAGAATTTCTTTCAAAATCATGGTGATCTTTGCAGGTTTTTAGCATTTTAATTTTCACATAAACACCTTACAGTATATTTTTGCAATTTTGCCTCTACTGTGGATTAGATTCTGGCATATAAAAGTTGAAAAGGAAAAAAAAAATCAAAATCTTCTCTCTACAATTGATTAAGGAAGTAGTTCTTCTGCCTTGCTTTTGAAGCACAGCCTTGGAAGGGCTTAACTTCTTGGAAATCTTCCAAAGCAATCTGTCCAATTTACTACCAATTAACTGGATAGCTCTTCCCATTACCATTGCAGTGACATATTCTTTTCTGTAGATGAGTCAATACGGTTGTCATACCACATTATGATCACTTTAAATATTGTACCCAAGATTAAATATAAGCTGTCTCAGAATCTAACAATCTCACTGTTACCCAAATTATGGTGACCTTGTAGGTCAAAAAAAGTTGGAACCAACATGAATTCCTGTCAGATCTGCTTGAAAAGTGTGGAATCATTAAGCAGTAATGTTAGGACCAAGCATATCCTTCAAAGAACAGGGAGAGAATTTCAGCTTCCTAGGAGTAATTTAATATTTTCAAGAAGTTACAGTATTTTAAATACCAAGTTATATGATGTTTTAACTATCTGGTATTTATTTGATATTAGTTTTGTTTGTGTTTATTGTTTTTGAAATTTGATTTTACTAAATGTACTTGGATTTTTATTACCAGCAGAGGAGAATGATTACCACATGAAAAAATCATTATCAAATTTTGTTTCAACATGTTTGGCCTTTTCTCTCCTCCTCTCTCTCCTTCCTTCTCCTTCTCTCCTTCCCCTCTCTCCCTTCTTGCCTTTCTTCCTTTTTTTCTTTTTACTGGGATTCAATTTAGTGCCTTACAAATGCTAGGCAAAGACTCTACCACTAAGCTACATCTCCAGTCCTACCTAAATATATTTTTAATGCACTACTGCAAGAAAATTGACACAGCTTTTAAAAAAGTGGAATGACCTGTGTTAAAGAATAGGCAATACTTCATCATATTTATATTTGCATATGAATTCTATATGAACTTTGTTTTTGACTGGAAGAGGGCAGTAAGGAAACACAAAAAATTGTTTCAAATGTAAATTGAAGAAAAACCTCTAAATATTTCTGCATGAAACCTCTAATTTGAGATATTCTCACAGAAACGAAATATGATGCTATTCTATGTATCTTTTTCTTTGTTTTACCTCTTTCTCCTAAGATTAAAATTAAGTATATTTTAAAAGGAAAAAAAATAAGATACTTTGTAGACATTCCAAAGAATTTTAAGTGAACAGTGATACTATTTTAGCTCTGCTTACTAAAACTTGGAACAGATGAAAAATATTTTAAAAATATAAATGCTAAACAAAAAATAAACAAGGACATAAAGATATCAAATAATGCAATGAACATATGTTTAATAGATTTAAAAAATCTGTCTATCAAATTAAAAACATTAAATGTCATGAAATATTTAAAAACTATCTTTCCTGAAAAATTCTGTAATAAACATTTTCAAGTAAAGAATTTTCATGGCTGTTCTTTTGATTTTGAGCAAATAAAATTAGAAATACAATTTTGAAAGACCATAAATCTTAATCATCTGAAAATTAGCTAATACATTTTTAGATAATATTTATTTCAAAGGAATGAAAACTCTCTGGAAGATAGCTAGGATCTCTAGGAAAAAGTCGTACAAAAACTGACAATAAACAGCACAAAGCTATCTAGATAAAAATTTATGACTATAAATGACTTCATTATTAAAAAACATAGCAAAAGAATATAATGAAAAATACAATAAAATATAAAAAGCTAAAACTTAAAGCTACAAAAGCTTGAGCCATTAAATAGATTTAAATGGCAGGAAAAATAGAGCAATATTTGCTTAAATAAATACTTGGAAAATA